CGCGTTGTCAAGCAGACATTCATGAAAGGTAATTACCAATATAGCTAGTTATCCTCATTTGTACATATGTGTATCTCTGGAATATTCCGTGTGTACCAACGACTGAAGTCTTCGCAACCAGCGTTCAGACTGGAGATCAACCAACATTCAGGAGATGATGACCAATACACTTCAGAATTTTGTTTTGAGATCATGTTTTATCAAAACACTTTATTTTAGAAAGTGTCCATTCTAAGTCAGCAGTAATCAACAATTCACTTAATTGTGAATTGATGTATCTTCAGTTCAGATCAAGTCTATTATTCAGTATTAAAATACTGAATTTTCAAGTCATGTAATCAGTAATTGTAAGCTTTAAGTTAAGCTTGTACATACCAGTTTTAGTATTTCCGAGGACGGAAATATTTTAAGGGGGGTGGATTGTAACGTCCCGTATTTTATTAATAAAGGAAAATACTAGCTTTTAGTTTTAAGCTAGTCTTTATTAATAAATAATCATATTCATGTTCAAGTTCAGGTTAATCAGTCAGTTATATTCTATGTTCGACTATTAGTCGATAAGTTATTCGGTTTAATTAATTCAGTAACCGAATAAGTTTTCAGATTTAATTCCGATTCATTTACTTAATTAATGAGTTCGGAATTAATTATTCAGTCAGGAGTATCCAGTCATGTTTTTAGTTCCGAAATAATAATATTTTTGAGTATTATTTTCGGAATTAATTATTTTCAGTCGAAATTACCGAAAATTATTTTCGACGCACCGTTTACGTTCGGAATAGTTTTGGTAATTAAATATTATGTTTAATTAATAATTAAACATAAGTTAGTGATTAATTAACATTAATCACAAGTTAAAGGAGCAAAATGCCGTACGGAAATCTTTCCCCAACAATTAAGCTTAAAGGTCGTATGGATTTTAATTTGTAATTCATGTATTTGTACTTCATTTTTTGGGAGATAAACGTGGCATTAGGAGGATAAAAGAGGGTGATTAATCATCCCTAACACTCCATATTATGTCCAAGTGTCATTAGTTTGAATTAAACACATCCTCACCCAAATGCTTGTACGGTGGTTATAAAAAGGAGAGTTTGGATCAAAAATTTCCACCTCTTGAGCCATATATTTTCCTCACGTTTTCAGCCCATATTCCTCTCTAAATTATACAAGTTCAGCAAATAGTTAGACAAGCAATTGCCTTAGTTATTCCATACCTCACGCACGGCAAAGCATCGCACGGCGGAAACTCATCGCACACGGGTACGCGCACGCGAGTTGCGATCAGTTTTGGGAATTCCGGCGAGCACTTGAGGAGGTAAAGCCATCCTCAAGTTCTTATTATGTTAATAAGTTCAAATAGAGTTGAATTGTTCGGCCCATGTTTCAGAAATCCATAGATATGTCATGCTAGACTCGGTTTAGGCCATTATAAGTCATGATCGAGTAATTTCTTGTTTTGTCCGGCAACTCATGAATAGTTCACGTTTATTTGATCAGTTTAAATCATTTTACATCCAGTTATATCATGTTGGTCGGAGCAAGATAGTGTTTTATTCTTGAATTGGCTCAAAGCCGTCGCCAGCGCACGTCGAGCATGGCCGCGGGCACTCCCAAGTCATGTTATGTTGTCTCTTGTTATAGTCAAGTTTGTCCGTGCAGTTTATGT